TGTCCTTCCAACATGCCTGGGGCCTCATTTATCATCAGTGTGTACGCACACATATGTGCGTAGAGCGTGCGTACAAACATTCCTACGCAAAGTATGGAATTTGTCAACTTGTACTTATACTTAGGAATGTGCGTAAATATATGTACAACTCTGACCATGCGTACGCACATAATCTAGCGGTAGAACAGTGAAACTACAAATAGAAAGTATTCGGGGATTTTGACCACTGGCACATTCCAGCGTTAGATTGGAGACACATGTGGCATTTCCAGTGATCACTGAGCAGGATCAAGCCGGCAGTGTTGGATGCCATAACTCCCCTGGCCCCACCCTACAGCAGTTCCCTTACAGCTATCACCGATGAGCCCAAATCAAACGGGGACTTAACGCCATCGCTGGATTCCCAAACATGACTTGAGCCATAGACTGCACCCACATCACAATCAAAGCAGCATCACTAAACAAGCTTAATTTTGTAAATAGAAAAGGGTTTCATTCAATCAACGTACTGATAATTTGCGATGCGCATTTGTTGCTATCCAACGTTGTTGCCCGGCGGCTTGGAGGAACGCACAACTCATTCATTGAGCATCTATGGCTGTGCGTCTCCAAGCAGGAGCTGTTGAAGACGGCTGGCTTATTGGTGAGTGTCACAGAGTGTGGAAATGTTTTAGCTGGACTTTTTTTGGTTATTACAACATTTCATCTGTAGTGATCAGGGCTATCCGCTGGGTGAACGTTCAGTATTAACTTGTCCTCCTCCAGTTGCAGCCATTTCTCCTTTATGGACTGTGATTAGTACTGAGCTTAACGTCAAACCACTTTTTAAGATTTTTGCCGGCCATCTCTCCTCTGACCCAACAGAAAATAACTGTGGTGGTTATCTTGTCTACAGTATTTTTTCTTTCACTGCTTATCCTGTACGACCCCCGTATGCACGTTTGATAAATACAGATTTTTTTGTACTTACGCACACTCTAAAGTTCATTCGTAAGACAGAATTTAGAACCTTTTCTACGCACTGATGATAAATGAGGCCCCTGGAGTTTGGCTAACTGATTGGTTTCATGCAGCTACATTGATAAATCTAACTGGGTGTCATCTGCATAACACTGGAAAATTATGCAGTGTTTCCAAATTGTATTGCTAAGGGAGCCTGTTCAGTTGGGTTCCATTAATCTAAATAACATGTTCCAGTCTCTGTACTAGGATGCTGTGATGAACTGTATCAAATGCAGAACTGAAATCCAGTTGAGCAAGTATAGAAACTATTCCACTGTCTGAGGCTATTAGAGGATCATTGGTGACCTTCACCAGTGCTGTCTCTGTACTATGAAACATTATAAATCCTGACTGAAATTCTTCATTTCCCAACCATTCCTGTGCAGATGGCCACATATTTGGCATGCAAGAACATTTGCAAGAAATGTGAAATAAAAGGGAGGTTGGATATGGGCCTATAGTTAGCTAAAACACCTGGATCCAGAGTAGGCTTTTTGAGTAATGGCTTTATTATAGCAACCTTAAAAGCCTGCAGTATGTGGCCGACAGTAAATATAAAAGAGATATGGTTGTGTCTAAGAATGGAATGTTAATTAAAGAAAAGATGTCCTTGAACAGTCTTGTGGCGATGAGGTCTAACCGACATGTTGCTGGTTGAGAAGAATTTACTGTTGATGTGCGCTCTGAGAGTTTTATGGCAGAGAAGCAGTATAGTAGTAAGTCTGGTCCTATGGACACTTTCAGAGCTACTGAACCTAATGACATGTTCATGATTTTCTGCCTAATATTCAAAACTTCATTTGCAAAACAGATCATGAAGTCATTGCTGCTGAGAGCTCAAGGAACACAAGGCAAGCTGTGACTCTTTGTCAGCCTGGCTACAGTGCTGAAAAGAAACCTGGGGTTTTTCTTGTTTTCCCCGATTATAGATGAATAATAAGCAGTTCTTTAACGAGGATTTTTATTTATTCATTTTTTGATATGTCATAAAATTACTTTTCCAGCCTTCTTGAAGCCATGGAGCTATTTTATTAGAATTTATTGCCTCCTTTTTCAGCAAAGCAACATTGTCAATTAATGTACACAGTAAAGCTGCTGTCCTATTGTCCATCTGTGTGGAACTCATGATAGAGGAGCTGCTTTCCACTGTGTTGGTGTATGGCAAATGAAGTAAATAATAGTTTCCTTAAATTTAGTTATTGCATTGTCAGATAAACATGTGCTGTAACTTCTTAGTGAATGCTTTGTAGTCCCTTATTGTAAATTCAAATGTTCAAAAAATGATCAGACAAAAGAGGGTTTTGTCAACAAACACATGTTCAATTTCTATGCCACATGTCAAAACAAGATCAAGAGTGTCATTAAAACTGTGACTTGGTTTGTTTACGTTTTGGGAGAAACAGTGAACTAAATGCAGAGTTGAGGCTGTCGTTCTCATCATCCACATGGATATTAAAAATCACCTGCTATCATGACTATATTTGTTCTGAGACTAAATCAGCTAAGAATTCAAATAAAAACTCAAGTAAGGGGCAGGTGGAGATATACAACAACTAACAGAACAGATTTTTGTGTTGTCCAGTTCAAGTGTATGAGACTAAGAGTAAGGCTTTCAAATGAACTGTAGCTAAGCTTTGGTATTTGGTTGATTAGTACTACTTATAGGTATATGACAAATAATAGGACTGTTGATTGTCCTCACAAAAGTTGAATTTCCTGTCAGCACTATAGCACTGTGGGTATTAGTATTAATGAGTTTTGAAGTCGTGAGGGCATGCTTGTGACAGTTTGTACTGCTTCACTGGTTTGTGTCAACATAGGTCTGACTCGTGGATATGAGTGGGAAGGGCTGCAAGATGGTGCCGTGGTTAGCACCATTGCCTCGCAGCAAGAAGGTCACCAGTTCACGTCCCGGTTAGGACACCCAGGATCTTTCTGTGTGGAGTTTGCATGTTCTTCCCGTGCAGCGTGGGTTCTCTCCGGGTTCTCCGGCTTCCTCCCACAAGGTCCAAAAACATGTTGAGGTTAATTGGTGATTCTAAATTGTCTGTAGGTGTGAATGTGAGTGTGCTTGGTTGTCTGTCTCTAAGTGTTGCTCTGTGATAGACTGGCGACCTGTCCAGGGTGTCCCCTGCCTTCACCCTAAGTCAGCTGGGATAGACTCCGGCGCCCCATGACCCTCGTGAGAATTAGGTGGTGTATAGATCATGGATGGATGGATGTCAGTGGGAACTGAGGATTTTACTTAGCCTGCCAGTTGGTGTGGATGCTGTGTAAAAAACCTATTCCTGCTCCATAACATTACCTTTGGATCTGCCACAACATATTGTCTGTGCCCTCATGAGCAATTATTTTATTTATTTTATTATGTGATTACTTTCTTGAAAGAGCTTTTTTCCCCCCTTTTGATTGTGTATTGGTATTTTCATATTTTGACAGTGTTTAAACATGAGTGAGGTGGTTCTGTTTTTGTTTTACTTTGCTGTGAGGATTACACATCAACATATCATTCACTCCTCTCAGCGGGGATGAACTAGAGTTGAACCCCACAGCACAAGCGAGGAAGCAAATTGAAATGAAATGCTTGTAAATGACTTGTCATCTCCTTTATAACATCCTTTTTTTCATACTGCTGCCTTTCTAAACCCCCAGAATACTCTTCACCATATAGTACTGAAGCAATAGATGCGTCAGAAACATCAGCAATGTGAAAGAGCAGGCATTGACACCCTGTGTCCTGTTTGGCACTGAAACTACTCTATCCTAGTTTTGTGGTCCCACCACGCCCCCACACTCGATGTGAGGCACTTGACGAACAAGCACGATAGTTTGTGGGCTGGTCCTGCAATGGTGACTGTCCACAGGGAAAGGAAAGGGTTAGGCACCACATTCTTGCTGACCTTTTCACTACCTGCCTCTAATGGGTCATATTTTAGCTCTTGTGGCAGTGACAAATGGCCATACTCTAAAAACCCCGTCCAAGGTGCTGAAACTCAGTTGATGTATGACTGACTCCAGCTGATAAATGCCTCCCATCAGTTTGCGCATGATGCCGATTTATCACTGCACTGAGGTTTGTGTCGGGAATCCATATTGGATTTTTAATGAAAGAGCATATAATGCAATTCAAAGTCAGTGGGTTTGCCAATGACCTCACACTCTACACACACTCAATAAGGTACACACACATACATGGCTACAAGCACATTAAAACAAACTGTCTCATCATACTGTCTATGACTGCATTGCATTTCCTCAACGGTGTTAGGGCATCTGCCTGAAGGCCAACCTCTGCAATTGTGATTGCCTACAGCAGATCTCTCATTTCTGCTGCCATATGATTTGGACAGGGACACAACAAGACACATAAGCCTCATCCATATAAATGAATATTAAGCATTTTTTGGAAAACCTTTTTTTTTTTGTGGCAATAAATATATCTAAAAAGACAAAAAAAAGTGTCTACTTTAGACAGAGAAACTTGTAGTTATAAGACACCACACAGGTTTAATAAAAAATGTATTTGTTCATAAAATTATTTAAATTTTTGTAAGTGTTATTGTACACTCTGGCTAACAAGTTTTTTTTTTCTGCTTTTATAAACTATCTTTGCTCAGCACTATTAAATGTAACAGCAAAGAAAATGCTTTTTGCAGACATCAAAGCTGCTTCAACGAGGTGTTTAAGACAGAATAGTTCCTGTGCTGTGCTTTACTCTGGTTGCACTGCATAAATGATCACTTGCCGCATAGATAATAGTCAAGATATCTGCCTGATTAAGCTAAAATGAAATGACACAATTTGAAATACAAAATAGTCTCTGCTTTTAGCTGCTTATGTAAGTGTGTATGAGTTTTTTTTCTCTGATGCCACCCTGCTAAAATCCAGTGCAAAATGACCAACCAATAGTTGGTGAAAGAGGGCACAGCAACTGTCCAGTGGCCTTTGCGCTACACCTTGACTTATTCCTAGGGCACTTTGACATAAAAAGACATTTCTTACATGGAATCTTCCGTTAAGTCTATTACAGTTGCCCTCACCTTGATGCCAGACATACCATATTCAAGGTAAGAAGAAGAGAAGGAATGAGTGCTGGGGATCAGCAATGTTTTAGCTGGTCTGGCTATCAATTTCCTGTAAAACACTTGGCTGTACAGAGATGTATAGATGGCAGAACAAGCCACAGCAACCACAATAAAAAATGCAGCACAGGTAGCCATCACTAGACTGTCCCAATTCTGAGTTGTCTCCCTCGGGACCACTGTCTCCTTTGTGGTCACATTGACACAGTCCCTCCTGTATCCAGGCTGTGTTGCAGTGACCTCAACACAAACCAGGTACTGAGTGGATGGCTTTAGTTGTTTGATGTGATATTCTTTGACATCAGCAGGAAGCCTGGCTGTAAATGGCATCAAAATGTGGTGGCCCTCTGCTAAAATAGACCAGTTAAGTTGTGATTGCAAAGCACCTGTGCTTTCCCAGGAAACCATAAAAGAATGAGACTGGACAGATGTAACATATACATGTAAAAGTTGTTTTGAAGGCAGGGCAGTGTATCCGTCCACTGAAACAAGCACAGATTTTAGGTCTGCACCAACAAGATTGTGGGCAACACAGGTGTATGGGCCAGCTTCTTGTTCCGTGGCATCATAGATTTCGAAAGTCCCCTCGGTGTGCATGTAGTACTTATCCGACATGCTGCCAGGCAGGACCCTGTCACCTGATGGTGTCACCCAGTAAATCTCAGGCTCTGGTTCCCCAAATGCTCGACAATGCAGTGACACTGAGTTCCTTTTGCTTACCTCAACTCGATCTGTGAGGCTCCCAGATGAGATCAGGGGAAGGCAGATCTCTGTCATATCCCTAAAGTGTACCTGTCTGACATGCTGTCCTTGATATTCCGGAGGTTCCACACAGAATAGTGAATCAGGCTCCATGAAGCGAATTGTGGTCCTGTTCATGGTGACCCAACGGATGACACAGTTGCAGTGGATCGGGTTGCTGTGCAGGCTCACCTCTCGCAGATTGGGTAGAGACTCCACTGTGCTGTGGTGAAGTGCAGTCAGAGCGTTGCTATTGAGCATCAGAGTCTCCAGCCTTGGGAGCTTGTGGAAGGCCTTAGGGTGAATATAGGACAGCCTGGGATTGTTAGTGGCCTCAATTTTTGTAAGCTCTGGCAGGTTGTTCAAGGCAAAACTATCAATAGATACAAGCTCGGGCATGCTGTTTATGCCAAGCTCCTTAAGATGCACCATGTCCATGAAGTCACCTCTCTGGATTCTCTCAATGGGATTCTTGTTCAAATCCAGAAACTTCAGGTTTTGAACTCTCGTCAGTGCTGTTTGGGGTACTCGATTAAGCAGGTTGTCAAAAAATGAGATGCTCTCCAGGTTCTCAAGACCAACTAGAGTATTGTCAGGAATTTCAGTCAAATTCATCCTGGCAAGTACAAGGCTTCGGAGGTTAGCCAGGGGTTTAAAGTTCATATTTGACAAATGGAAGATGGGGTTTTCTCCCAACATCAATATCTCCAGGTTGGGGAGGGATTCGAACCACTGGCTGTCGATGCTTGTCAGTCGATTGGAATTGAGATGAAGCCTGAGCAGCCAGTTCAAGCCTTTAAAGGCGTGGGAGCTAATAAAGAAAATCAAGTTGTGGTTGATATAAAACTCCTGGAGGTTGGGCAGTGACGCGAGGCAGCTGTCAGAAAGCTCCTGAACCCAGTTCTCTTCCATGTGGAGCGACAGTAGCTGAGGAAGAGACCCCAAACAAACATCGCTCACTGAGGAAATGTTATTCTGAGACAAGTCAACTTCCGTGATGTTGTCTAAGTAATCCAGCGTTTTCTCTACATTAACAATGTTGTTTGTCTGTAGCAGCAGCACCTGTGTTTCCAGTGGCAGTCTCTCTGGTAGTGCTGAGAGGCCCAAGTCATTACAGTCCACAGTGGTAGCCTCGGTGTAAATAGAACTGGGAGAGAACCAGGGTCGTATCTCACATCGACACAGTGCAGGGCAACGGGCAGCCCCCTCTGAGGCTAGAACAAAAGCAGCCAGAGACAGCTCAACCAGCAAACAAGCCACAGCTGCTGTCTCCTTCATCTTGGCCCAGTATTACCTTCTGCCAGTAATTGGCCTTATGGAGACAGCTGTTAGCACTGTTAGCTTCACAAAAATAGGCTCATATGTTACTCCGGGAAGACAGTGGATTTCTGCTGATGCCTGTTCCCTGAAGCTTTGGCCTTTTGGTTTTCTTCCAGCCCTTGGTAAAGAAAGGCAACCTTTCAGTTCAGACTGTGCGAGGCTGTCATGCAGGCTGTGATATGTCAAGGTCGATATATCCTTTAGGGAGCAGTGCTGCACGGCAGAAGGGCAGTTGAGGAATGCTGTGGCTCTGGCTGGGGATGAGTCATTCTGCCTTCCATCATTATTATCCTCCTTCACTGGTGTCAGTTTCCATCTATAGAGACAAGAGACAAAAAAAGGCCAATATAACACAGTGCTAACGAGATATGAAGACATATTTTTTTAGTGTAATCTAAAATGGTTTCTAATTTTGTCCTTGCCTTTTACCAATTCTAGGTTTTTCTGTGTTTTTTTATTGTGTCTGTGACCTGTGCTCGCAATTTCGTTGCATTTTACTTACCTCATCTGATTTTATTGCTTTCCTCATGCTATCTGAGTTGTAAGTTATGATGAACCTGAAGTTATGTGCATTATGTGATGAGTTTGATTCCATAAATTGTGTTTTCGAACATCATTATATGGATGTAGGACAAGAGGCCTTAAATCCAAAGGCAACAAAAAGTTCACATTTTTGCCTGTGCTGTAATAAACAGATCTTCACTGCCTACTGAACCTCTCTTCTGTACAATGCACCTGTGCACACTCACCCACATCACACAGCATGCTGACAGTTTGCCACAACTAATACACACAACTTCAAGGTGTTGTAGAGCCAAAACTATCTGTTGTGCAAGCTTGCTGCAGGTCTTGTGTTGCGACTCAGCAGCTTTTTTTTTTTTTTTGCATAATTCATGGGACATTAAATCAGCGTTGTTGGTACAGGTGACAGGGCTTCGGTATGCTTTGCTGATGTCAACTACATGTATTGATGTTTTGATTAATTTGCGACCTTCAAAGCAGAAACCGCAGCAGAGTATACAACGTAGATAAAGCTTTCGTTTAACACACACACACACACACACACACACACACACACACACACACACACACACACACACACACACACACACATATATATCAATGAGTGTGAAGCAGTTTCCAAATCCAAATCCAGACAGACAAGCTGGTGGTGGCTAATCAACCAGACATTAGGCATCTGGTATCTGGTACAGGATCTGAGCTTGAGGGAGACAAAAGATTACTTTCAAGGCTGAGTGGGGAGATGTTTTGTTTGTTTGTTTTTTTATAGGATGAGTACAATTTGTTGCAAGACACAGATGAAATATTTGCAGTGTTTAAAAATCTTAGATTGAAAAATTAAATCAATCTCACAGTTCTTTGTACTATCTGCAATGCAAGCCTTTTGAGTGGCAGTCGTAACAGAGCTGCTTATACTCATATGATATCCATCCATCCGTCCGTCCGTCCGTCCGTCCATCCGTCCATCCATCCATCCATCCATCCATCCATCCATCCATCCATAGGGTAGGGTGGTGGGAGGAGGATTGGAGCCTATCCCCCCTGACTTAGGTTGCTAGTCCAAGATAGACAACCAAGCACACTCACATTCACACCTACGGACAACTTAGAGTCACCACTTAAGCAACACTGCTAACTACTATGCCACCATGTCACCCACCCTATGTGATATGGCACCTGAAAAGTAAAGACTCACTGGAACAAAGCAAAACTAGACATACTAAACAACACACACTATGCAAATATACTTTTTAAAGGAGAAAAACATGTCCTTGTGACAGTGACCAGGTCAAAAAGATTATGGAGAGGGTAACTGAAGTCATTACACTGGATGAGCAGCCCATCCCTGTGGTGGAGAACACAGGTTTTTGCTGTCTTGTGGCGCTCTTGTATGGAAAGCTGAATGTGCCATAATTAATTTAGTTATTCAAACATACATGCTGCACCACACATAGTTAATTAAGGCTGTCGTGCCAAGAATGTCAAAGCAGATTAATGTGCTGGTTCTGTTCCTCATTTAGTCAATATATATTTCAGCTATATTGGAATTTTTTTTTTTTTTCCTTCATGTTTGTGTATCTTTACATGACTCACTTCCATTACAACCATTCCTTGGCCATCTTTCTTCTGAGATAAAAAATAATATCCCGATTCCAGCACAGCGAACAAATAGTCAGCTATTCCACTTTTTGGGTCCAGCCCTATTCTCCAGACTTTAATCCTATAAAAAATCTGTGTAGCGAGCTGAGGCTTCACCTTTTGAAGCAACGGCCTTAGAAACTTAAGGAAAGATAGCGGTCTAAAATACTTTCTGACATGTGTGCAAACCTGGTGACTGTGCTTGTGAAAAAGGGCTAATCCACAAAGTACTAAGTCATGTTTTGCTGGGGGGATCATATGCTTATTTCCCTTGATCAACTGAAAATTAATGCATAACTGTGTTTATCTAATTTTTTTGTCGCTGTTTTGTCTGATCTTTTTTTTTTTATGTGGCCAAAATCATGAAATATGCAGGTTTCTGTTGACATTCTGTCTCTAACAGTTAAAATAAACCCATAAAGATTAAAAAGTGATTGTTTAAATATACAGGGGATCAAATACTTATTTCCCTCAATGTAGGCCAGTGGGACCAGAAGTGGGTGTCTGGCATAACAACTGATGTATCACAGTGGATAACAGCTGTTACTGAATCTGATACGCCTCATGATATCCCAACAACAAAGCAAGCCTGTAAAGATGATTTTTTAGCTTCTCTAACTCCTGTGAATCATACCAGTAGTAGCACAGGGTGGTCTTCCACATGTGGCTGTAAATGTAGTGAAGCAAAAGATAGGGCAGGGAATCCATGCTGTCTCTTTGAACATGTGATCAGAATCGTACACATCACTTTGGACACCATTGTTTTTTTCACATTCTTGTTTTCAGCAATTGTTCCCTAGAACCTTCCTTTAACTGATGTCAGGAAGGTGGAGCTGCTGGACAGTCTTCAGCTCTATTGCTGTTAGATCTGTCAGCTGCCTTTGACACAGTTAACCAATACATCCTCTCAATGTATTCCTGGATCCTGTTAATACCAGGAACAAGAAATTGAAGAAAGGGTGGTCTAATATTTTTTTTCCATATATATATATATATATATCCATCCATCCATTTTCTATACACCGCTTAATCCTCACGAGGCTCGCGGGGGGGCTGGAGNTTTTGTTTGTTTGTTTTTTTATAGGATGAGTACAATTTGTTGCAAGACACAGATGAAATGTTTGCAGTGTTTAAAAATCTTAGATTGAAAAATTAAATCAATCTCACAGTTCTTTGTACTATCTGCAATGCAAGCCTTTTGAGTGGCAGTCGTAACAGAGCTGCTTATACTCATATGATATCCATCCATCCGTCCGTCCGTCCGTCCGTCCATCCGTCCATCCATCCATCCATCCATCCATCCATCCATCCATCCATAGGGTAGGGTGGTGGGAGGAGGATTGGAGCCTATCCCCCCTGACTTAGGTTGCTAGTCCAAGATAGACAACCAAGCACACTCACATTCACACCTACGGACAACTTAGAGTCACCACTTAAGCAACACTGCTAACTACTACGCCACCATGTCACCCACCCTATGTGATATGGCACCTGAAAAGTAAAGACTCATTGGAACCAAGCAAAACTAGACATACTAAACAACACACACTAGATACTTTTTAAAGGAGAAAAAAATGTCCTTGTGACAGTGATCAACTCAAAAAGATTATGGAGAACGTAACTGCACCGGAATCTTTCTGAGTGGAGTTTGCATGTTCTCCGCATGCAGCGTGGGTTCTCTCCGGGTTCTCCGGCTTCCTCCCACACAGTCCAAAAACATACTGAGGTTAATTGGTGATTCTAAATTGTAGGTGTGAATGTGAGTGTGCTTGGTTGTCCGTCTCAAAGTGTTGCCCTGCAATGGACTGGTGACCTGTCCAGGGTGTCCCCTGCCTTCGCCCTAAGTCAGCTGGGCTAGGCTCCAGCCCCCCCCGTGACCCTAGTGAGGATTAAGCGGTGTATAGATAATGGATGTATATATATATATATAGAGAGAGAGAGATCTGTGGGTTTCATACAAACAAAGTATAGCACAAAGCAGTCAATCCTAAAGTGGCTGCCTTTTACTTGACATCCAGAGCCACAGTGTCACTCAAAGCTGTATTATCCTGAAAAGCCATGACCTCAGAGACCTGAGGTTTTAGTGTCTGCATTTATTTCATTCCCTCGAGAAGAACTGACTTCTTCTGACCAGTCAGCCTGATCTGACCATGGTGTCAGCTTTTCCCGCCTGCACTTTGCCTGCACAGCATTTACGTCGAGGATTCAAGACAGAGAAAAAAAGAATCGCCCATTGTTGATAAAAGTATTTCATAATGCATTTTGCAATCAACATACAGACCTACAGAGCAGCTCTGTTTAACCCAGGGACGATAAGCCAGGGCACAAGTGCTGAGTACAGACATTCTGTGAATTGATTAAAGCGGCCCCAAATGTGAAATATTATGTGTTTCTTATACAGTGGAGAGAGAAGCCGAGGACTGGAGCTCTTGCGGTGTTACTGTCCTGATATGGCAGATATTTCATAAAGTGGTCTCATTCCTCAGTGTTATATTCTACACACACAGGTACACACAGCCCACTACTGGCACTCTCCTCTGAGCTACTGTCAAACATTAGCCAGAGTGACAGAGTCAGATTTAGGCTAATTATCATACTTTAGTTTTTTTTAAGAATTGTGATTGATCCTAAAAAAAAAAGCCTGGTTCAAAACACTTCAGGCAAAAGCATTGTTTTTGAGAAATTGCCATTTTGGAGTTTGAAAGTTTGCACCCAACTGCAGAAACTGGACAGATAATGAAAGGTCCAATAAATTGGTATCATATATTCAAAATTGCGATGTAATTCTAGTGGAAACT